AGCAGCACGCAGTCCCGGCGCGGGTGCGGGGCCATGCTGTCCGTCACGTAGTGGTACACCTCCGTGTCCCGCCCCAGCGCCTCCACCACCCTGCTCTGCAGCAGGTCCTCGTCCCACAGGTGACGCTCCCGCAGCACCCGGTGCAGCACCGCGGCCGGAGGGGCCTCCACGTCCGTGGAGACCTTCCACAGGCGCAGGGGGTGCCCGTCCCCCACCTGCCGGGACAAGGGAAGGGTCAGGCCAGCTGTCCCAGGGGACCCCGCCAGGCTAACCCCCCCCAAACATCTTCACTGATGGCTCTGCCACATCCACTACCTAGTGAGGGATTGGACAGGAGCTGCCCTGGCTGCTGGAGAGGCACTGAAGGCAGGCAGCCAGCTCCTCTGCTAACAACAACGTGGTGGACTCTGCCAGCACCCTCCATCCCAGAGCTGTCCATTGCTCAGCCCTGCTTCTGGACAGGCAAAAGGCTGATGATCCCTCCTCACGTAAGAGAACAGGCTCCAAGGGTTGTTGGCAGGTCAGCAGGTGCCTGCAGGACCTGTGGCTCCCGGTGGTCACCCCGTAGATGCTTTTCCATGTGACCCCAAGCCCCCCATCACAGCAGCATTCACCTTTTTGCAGGAGAGCTCCGTGTTCAGGGGCCCTGGGGTGCTCAGCCAGCCCTTGAATTTCTCCGACGACTCTTTGAGCAGGTTCTGGACACTCTGCTCGAAGTAGGAGTGTAAATCCTTGCTGTCCCCCTGACAAACGAAGTCAGCCAGGGGATGGGGGTAAGTGTCTGCTGCCATATAGGAGGTGCTCAGCTGCAGCAAGATGTCGTGGGAGACCTAGAAGCCAAGAGCATACAGATCTTCAGAAAGCCAGAGGGATCCTACGTGGGCTTGGTGAGTGGTCCTCAGCAGCAAGCAAACCCCAGCTCCTCATCCCACCACGAAGCAGGAAGGAGGGACAGGGTCTGCCTGGGAGAGACCCTGCAGCGTCCTCCGGCGTGGGCCCGGCACCCCCACCAGGTGCAGCCGGGCCTCCTCCCGGGGTGACAATGCCAGCCTGGACACGCCACGGCCACCCACCTGGAAGAGCTTCTTGCAGTCGGTGATCATGTGGGAGAGCCCCTGTGTGGCAGCCATGTTCTCATTGAGGTCCTTCTGGTCCGGCTTCCCCATGGTCCCCCTCTTATGCATCGCCCTGAGGAGGAGCAGGCACCGCTGGGACCGGGTGGGCATCGTGCCCACCTCCAGCCCCACATTGCTCTGCTCTGGGTCGCAGATGGGGGGAGACCCTCATGGCAAAGCAGAGCGAGGGGGGGCTGTGTGAGAGCATGCACCTCCCCACCGTGCCTTGCCCAGGCCTCCAGGCCCGTGCCCTCCTCCCAAGGTGGACAGGGAAGGGGTGACGGGCAGATGGCGGGGGCCGAGCTAGTCCAACCCTCACCTCGGCGAGGTGCTCTCCTTCTTGGCCACGTTGAGGTGGAAGATGGAGGGGGCCAGGCACACGGCCAGGTT